TATCTGGATCGCTTATTTTCTCTCTCTGAAAAATGTTCTTTTCTACATTATGGCTTCACCCACTACCTATATACCATATCCCTTTCTTGGATGTCTTAAAGTAGCAGTCCCCAACATTTTTGGCATCAGGGCCAGTTTCACCGAAGATAATTTTTTCATGGATGGGGGGTAGGGGAGGAATGGTTTCAGGATGATTCAAACACATAACATTTGTTGTGTACCTTATTTCTATGATTATTATAATGTGATATATAATGAAATAATTATACAACCCACCATAAAAAAAGAGGCATGGGCAAAAGTGGTAAATAAAATAATGGGTGGGTCACACACAGACTGAAACAAGGGTCAGGTTCTGACTTAAAGCCTGCTACCAGATGCAGCTGTACAATTGAAGTACATCAGTAAGTTCGGGATAGTTGCTGACAACTTACATTTTTATTGGAGCATGCACTTTGAGAACCACTGTTTCACATCTATGTGCATTTGTCTCTTTGTGTAATTTATATCAGCACTCTTAACACCAGGATGCTAAGGTCTGAAGGTGAGAGTAAAGCACATTGCAGGCCAGTCCTGCCCAGTGCAACATGATGGGAGCCATACTTGTAGGAGTAAACTAAAGTACAGCAACTCACTTGCCACTCACTGGTAGGGTTTTTATATAAGTCGGCAAGCAACTGATTCATTATGGTCTCTGCACAGTCACACCTCACTGCTAATGTTAATCTGCATTTGCAGCCACTTCCCAGCACTAGCATCACTGCCTCAGATCCACCTCAGATCATTAGGCATTAGATTCTCATAAGGAGTGTGCAACCTAGATCCCCCACATATGCAGTTTGCAATAGGGTTCCTGCTCCTATGAGAATCTAATGCTGCTGCTGATCTGATAGGAGGCAGAGCTCAGGCAGTAATGCGAGTGATAGGGAGTGGTTATAAATACAGATGAAGCTTTGCTTATTCACCCACCACTCACTTTCTGCTGTGTGTTCCTGTTCTTAACAGTCCAAGGGGTTTAGGAGCCCCTGTCTTAAAGGCCATCTCAAACTCTCAGTCACTCTGAGTAAAAGGTCCCAGGGATTGTCTTCTCCCATCCTCTTCACTCTACTGTTCACTGTCCATACTCTTTTCTTGGGTATCTCATCTGTTTTACCACTCAGCTCTTTCTTTGATATCAACAATTCCTAAGTCTGTACATCATCTCTGAGGCTCTTGTTATAAGTTTTCAACTATCTGAAAGAAATAATGCTCCAACTGAGGATACAAAGGATAACACACAGAAAGGTAGAAATCTTCTGTAATACTTCTAAAGTCTTCCTGACAAGGACTCACATAGAAAGAGGGTCTCAAAGGAATTGCAATGTTGAAAAGGGCAGGAGCCACAAGGGGGCAGGAGTTAAGCACCCAGCACTGACATAAGACACAACTGACTGGATCCCAAACTCTACCCTTACTACCTTGCAACCCAGGCAAAGGTTTCTTAATCTCCCTATCATCTAACATGGGAGAGTAGAATAACAACAGCAGTTACTATACTATGGGATCAACTGTTCTATGCACTGCTATTTTTTCCAATATGCCTACAAAAGTTCTAGAGTTTCCTAAATCTTAATCACAAAGCAAAACCCAAAACAATTCTCTAACTATTGTCTTTAAATCCCTTCTTGCTTTTCCCATAAAACTTCTATAAAGATCACCTATGGTCTACATTCATACTTGGTTCCTCTCTAGTTTCATCTCACCATTCTATGGAAACCCTTCCCTTGGATTAAAAATGACCTAACTGGCAATTACAGTTATTTCTTGTTCACGTGTCTTGTTTGTAATGCTGGGGCAAATCTAAAAAGAAATGAAGGCTTTCTACAAGGCGGGAGCCTCAAGGCAAACTAGTTGGATAGGCTAAGGGGTTTATCTCTGGAGGAACCGGAAACAGCATAATGGAAGGGATGAAAGAGGAATAGTGTTGGAGAAAGGAAGTCAAAGATCAACAGCCAAGGAGGATATTGCAAGACTCAAGCAGTAAATATACCTAGCCAAGGAAAACATTAGATACCAAAATTATCAAGAACAAGTCAAGATCCAGAATTTAAGCCAGATAAAAGCCAGAAGGAACCATGGGCATCAGAGTCCACTTTTATAAGGTATAGTTAGTTGACAGTAGGGTGAGTAGTACTCATCCTACTCAAATTTTCCATAGGTGTGTCAGTATTAATCTCCTCTTCCTCCAAATCTTGGAAACAATCTCTCCTGTTCCAAATCCAAGGACAACACTCCTTCCCAGTTCTCAAGACTCTTGATCCTTCTTAGTTCTCAGGCGGGTACCAACTCTCCTACTTGCACTGTAGTCCATCACTCAGCTTGGGCTGTCTTGTCTTCCTACTCAACTTGGGCTATGGTGACACGGTGGCAACAATCACTAGCTCATCTGATCATGAATTTATTTTTTCTTCTTGGACTTGAAGCTAAAATGCACTTCCCAGCTTCCCCAACAGTTAAGGTAACTGCACATGACCAGTTCTAGCCAATAGAAAGCAAGCGTAAATGGAGTTCACTAGAAGCAACCCCTAGAAAATTCCCCTTGAGATCCTTCACACTCTTCCCCTTCCTGCTGGCTACATGCCCCCACTTAGGGAAACCTTGAAAAAAAGGCACTGAAGATGGAAACGTTTCTTTCAACTCTCAACTCCTGAATGTCTGAACAGAGAAAAGCCTTCATTATACATCAGAAACGTGTTGGATTTTATGTGACTATAAAATAAATTTTGTGGATATAAAATAAAATATGTGAATATAAAATATATTTCAATTGAATTTTTTCTTTGTCTTAACAGTTTTAGGGGATGCAAATGGTCTTTGCTCTAGGTTTTAACTGTACCCACCACCCCCACCCCCATTGTATCCAATAAGTGATTTTCGATCCCTCCACCTCTACCCCTTTGAGTCCCCAAATTACTGAAATTTTGAGGTTTACCTGTTATAGCAGCCACTATCTTTATTGTTAAGTCCCAGATCTAGACATTAATAGTCCAAAATGCATTCTTAACATTAGATTCAAATTTCTAACATCTTCCCTCTCCTCCACCAAATTAACTTCTAATATTTTTCAAGGTTTATTCCCAAAACCTCCTGGTCCAGGTTGAGTTTCTCCCATGTATGTTTCCAGAGCATCTTACTTATCACAGTTATTACTGTCTATACAATCACCTGTCTTCCCAACTCTATGGTGAACATTCTGATGGGCAATGCCTGTTTTAATTTTAGTATCCTCTGTGTCCAGTTAGTATTCAGGTATAGTTTTTTACAAGAACAAATAGATGAATGAATAAATAATTAGCATTGGTCATATAAAAAATATGAAGGCCCAGAGATGATGTGGTCAAGTTCATAAAATATGAAAGGTATCGGAAGGAGAGGTTAAATGGAGAACTTTTAAAACGAATCCCTAGAAACATAGAAATCAGGAGAAACTGTGAAATGTTGAAAGAAGGATTTTTAAAGATTTAAGGATAAACAACAACAACAAAAAAGGCTTTACTGAGAAGTTAGTAAACTTGAGTGTTAACTTCAAGAAATGATGGCAGATAAAAAAAGTTTATAAAAAGTTACTAAAGAAAATTTGGTTTGCTAAGAATATAGCCCAAGTCTCTTGAAGTTGATCATGAAGGAACAATATAGCTTTCTAGAACATATCCCCTGGACAGATCCCTGAATGACAAGAGACATTTAAAGCACCTCTTTTGTAATTTGTAGTAAAACTCTAAATCATTGTTCAACCCTCCCCATTTAACCTGAGGATACTCGCCAGCAGTGCTTGCAGTTGCAGTGATTACCCTGGGATTTTAAAGAGAGAAACAGAGAGAGAGCAAGAGAGAGAGAGAAATACAAAATATAGTAATTCTCTCTTTTTAAAATAATTCTCACTAGGATTAGAGACAAGTTCTGTTTAGAAATAACTCCAAGAACAGTTGTTGTATTTTATTTTCACATTGAAAACCAGTCAGATTTGCTTCAGCCTCAAAGAGCGTGTTTATGCAAAACTAAATGAATGCGGTGGCCAGCTGCATTTTTATATTCTAAATGAGTAAAGGGTTAAATACATTACAGTGATGCATCATATTCCACCAGCTAACAACCCGGTGACAATTCATTCAGGGGCTCCCACACACTGTGTAATAGCATTTACAGCACCAGTGCAGAGCCCATGGTAGGAGGTGAGTGACCAACAGTGGAGCTAGAGAGCATTCCAGAACTTTCCAGGCCTTTCTTCTACCGTCCTCACTCCTCCACACACAGAATTTTTCTGTACATTCCAAGAAAAAATGCAAAGCCCATGTGTGACTTACAGAAATAACCAGCATTCCTACCTTACTCTTACTGCCAGCCCTTTCCCTTCTCCACACCTGGGAAAATCCACATAAAGGAAAAACTAGACTAATAAAAAGTTTGCCTCTTTCAGTGACTTTTATTTACTGTCTAAAAGCTAATTTTTTTTTTTTTTGAGTCGGGGTCCCACTCCATTGCCTAGACTGGAGTGCAGTGGCACGCTCATGGCCACCACAGCCTCGACCTGCTGGGCTCTGGCGATCCTTCCGCTTCAGCCTACCAAGTAGCTGGAACTATAGGCACACTCTACCACGCCCGATTAACTTTTGATTTATTGCAGAGATGAGGTCTCACTAAGTTGCCTGGGTGGATCTCAAACCTGCAGGCTCAAGCAATCCACTCGCCTTGGCCTCCCAAAGTACTGGGATTATAGGCTGAGGCACCGAGCCTAGCTAAAAGCTAACTTTTAAAACACAGAGCATAAATGAGCATTGGGGTTTGTACATACTTGACCTTTCAATTTACTTTCACTGGCTTGAGACATTTAGCTTTCTTAGAAAAGGAATGACCGATCTGAGGGGAGCTAAAGCTTAAAACAGACACTTTGCTTCCACAGAAACAACAGTTAACCTTTAACTCAGAACTTCGCTCTGAAAGATTCAAAGTAGCGCACTCACCTGTAGCTGAGATATAGTTAAAGGGTATCGGAATAAAATCCAGGTAACACCTTCACTGCAAGGTGGTATCGTAAGGGAGCCTTCATATACCCAGTAATCCCGGAGCAGAGGATCTGTGCAACCACGTGGACATGTCATAGAAAAGGCAAGTTAATTTATAATAATCCTGAAGATGCCAACAGCCCTTGTCAAAATTACAGACGGTCCCAATAACACTTATAAGATGGATGTCATTTTTAAACCAAAGCTTCACATATGACATGTGTATTCTTTTTGTGTGTGTATGTGAGTGGGGGATCTTACTCTGTCTCCCAGACTGGAGTGCCATGGCATGATAATAGTTTACTGCAACCTTGAACTCATGGGCTCAAGCGATCCTTCTGCCTCAACCTTCTGAGTAGGTGGGACTACAGGTGTGCACCACCACACCTAGCTAATATTTTTCATTTTCTGTAGAGACAGGATCTCACTATGTTGCCTAAACAGGTCTTGAACTCCTGGACTCAAGTAATCCTCCTGCCTCGGCCACCCAAAATACCCAGTCCACTTATGTGTTCTTAAACTAATCATCGTGGAGAAAATAATCAATACAAACATGATGAATTCTCTTTCAGTTATTTACAGTGATTTCCATCAATGGATTACTGTACCTATTTGTCAAGTTTAATCACTTATAAGTGTATCCATTTTTTTTCTTTATTAAATGATTTACCAAATTCATACCTAATATTTATCAAATGCTTACAACATGCCAGACATTGATCTAAGCATTTTACATTAATTCATTTAACCTTCACAACATATGGGAAAACTGAATAACAAATGATCAGTAATTTGTCCAAGGTCCCTCGGCTAATTATAACTGGAAGAGCCAGAATTCAAACCCATGCATTCTGGCCCAGAGCCTGTATTTTTAACCATTCAGTTCTAGCTACCTTTACACTATTTCTTCAACAGTAAAATATTAAAATAGTATTATGATAGGATAAAATAAATCATTCTTATGAAATCATTTAGCTCTAAATTAGAGAAATTTATGATTAAATGTGATAGGTATATATTTAACATATGACAGAAACTAGGTTGTTATAGAACAATTAAGTGTAGAAAGTAAAATATACAATATAGCAACCTATTTGGTTTTGTTTGAAACACTAAGAAACAGCATAGATTTTAGGCAGAGAAATGTAAAAACTAAAATTTCACATAAAACAACTTTTAACTCCAAATTATATCTTGATTACTTAAAACAATTCAAATAACATCTAGATAATAGTATTACTACAAAGAGGTAAACTTATAAAATTAGATATAGTTTACTTCCCCCTAGAGATTGATAAGAACCTTGCTGATCAATCTTAGAAGTATATCAAGGTTATTTTATTATACTGGTGTTTTACACAGAAGAAGCCAATTTTTAAAATCACAATAATAAGAAAGTTCTTCATGGATTGATGGAACTATTAGCAAAGAGTTTTTTTATTATTTCAAAAAGTTTACTTCCATAGTTAGAGTAATCTGGAAATGGTACCTGCTACAAAGACTATTTTGCAAAGACTAAATTGCAAAGAAATGCAAAGAAACTATATTAACTAATATATATACATATATATGTGTGTGTGTATATATATATATATATATATATATATATATATTCTGAGGAAAACAACATGGTTATAGCCACAGTTAAAATACAATGTATGTAATCACATTACTCACCTGGTAATAAAGTATTAGGATTAAAGCAGGGTATTGTTTTGGACTTCCCCTGAAGAAAGAAAAATATTTACTCATTGTTAATGTACATTTTCTCAATTTTAGAATAAAACATTCATTAGGACAAAAAATTCAGAACGTTTTCTGAATGGCCATATCAGGTCCCACAGGCTTGTGGATGTCTCCTCTGTCCTCTCACTGGAGCAACACTGGCTGGTTCCAACAAGATACTCTGCCCTGATTCTATGACTATTTTCTTTGCCACCAAAGTTCAATTTTCCCCTAAAAGTTCTGGCATGGAAGAACTTCAGCTGGTGTCCATCTGCTCCAGATCCGTTGCTTTTTCTGCTCCCAGGACATTCATACCAGAGACCTGGGCTGAATGTGTTGAGGTAAAACACCCCAACCCTGGCTGGGGGATTTTCAAAACAACTTTCCTCCTACTTGCTTTCAGCTTAGCTCCTAACCTTCCTGGAGTCAGAACCTGGTTCCCAGTATCTCATATGGTCCCATTTGGATTTAGTAATTCAGCGCTGCTCTAGATGCTCTCCTCATCAGGAAAGCAAGATCTGAAACAGATGAAAATACTCTATTTCAATTAACTTTTATCAAAGCTAGATTTAAATTTAAAGGGAAATATCTGTGCTCTTATTCAACAATTCACAGACAAGATTATTATTTTAAATCATGTCATTTAAATTTCTTAGAGTTTAGAGGCAGGCAGACCTGTCATGCGAATCAGATTTTTCTTAAAAGATTACCTCTGTTAATACAGATGCAACCAGAAAAGTTATTGCCTAACCTCTAAGTATCTTCCTTCCCTCCTGAGACTATTTTACACATTATTTTACACTACTTGCCTGAATTCCAAAATGACTGATGTCCTAAGTCGATGAAGAAATAAAGGAAATGTTCTTAGCCCATTTCCATTGGAAAAATGTGAGTTTAAACGTGTCCTAACCCCCTTTAGATCACCAGATTTTGTCTAGGTTGGGTTTTCTTTGGAAGCTGGGATTATTCTGAGCCTGCTTGAGAGATTGTCAGTGCAGGTTCTACTTGGTTCAAGATGTCCTGGGCTGTGCTAGTGTAGAGCTAATTAGACTGATTTCCAAACTGATTTTTCTTAGAACTGGCTGTGGGTCTCTGGATCCCTTGCAGTGAAGCAAGGGAGCAAAAAATGTGGGGAGAAGAAAAAGTAGCTGCTCTGGAACAAATGGACACCAGCTGTAGTTCCACGCTTTGCATCTCCAGCAGCTGTTCAGGACTAAACTACTCCCCAACCTGAGACTACTTGGATTCAACTGACTCTGTGAGCCTAGAAAGTATTGACAACAGAGCTTGGCTTCTTAGCAATGCTGGGTCATAACACTGCAGTGTCATATTGATCTAAATTATCTTCTCTGGGATACTGTCATACGGTATATATGTATTTATTTTTTTAAATGCATTTAACATAAATACTTTGGAGTATGGTTCCCTAAATTTTTGTTTCATTTATACAACCTTCCTGTAACAAGGGCGTAAAACGGTTAACGCAGCAGGCCTAGGTTGCTCAAACCCTGCATATCCCATATAAAAGCCTTTGTTCAGAACTAACTCTAGGATCCAGGGATATCATTTCTGAGCTTGGAAAAGTCTACCTGGTAAGAGTGTTCTGTATGCCTGAGGTCTTGGGACATACCATACCAGTTTGAGCAGATGAGTTTATCCTGACAATGTGATCTTATGGTGAAAACCTGATTTTGTGGGGGTTGGGAGCTGGAGTAGCAAGGTAGGGGTTGCTGCTGGAGTCTGGGTAGCTGAGGTCAGTTAGGTTACAGGTACTTTGTGCTTGCATGGCTGACCCCTAATAAATCCCTGGACACCAAGGCTAGGATGAGTTTCCCTGGCTGACGACATTTCACACGTGTGGTAATACATCACTGCTGGGAGAATGCAGAACAGCTCCGTGTGATTCCATTGGGAGGAGACACCTCAAAGCTTATGCCTGGTTTTCCCTGGTCCTTCACTCCACGCATCTCCACTGATTTTGATATGTATCTTTCCACTGTGATAAACCATAAGCATAAGGATAGCAGCTTTCTGAGGGCTATGAGTCCTTCTACGCAATCAGTACTTTTATTTTAAATGACTTACCTTATACTGAATATCCTGGAGGATTTCAGTCACAGCCTTCAGGCCGACATGTTCTTTTCCTATCTGAAATATATAAAGCATAAACCACAACAATATTTTTTAAAGCTTAGCTTTCACTCAAAATAACCAACAGAACCAAGGCCCCAGTCTATCTGAATGTCCCTTCTTGGAGAATAATTGAATGACCTTTTTATGAATAACTAGGTCAACGCCTACTAAAGATGATTAAAGTTTTAACAGAAGCTAGTACAATAAAGTATTAGATATGTAATGTCCAAGATTCCATTCTCAATTCTTCTTGCTGTGTATATGTATCACTGACTGTGCTGTATATCACATATCAAATCATAAAATACTAGTATATAAAAATGTCAAGGATGCTTTTGAATTAAAACTATTCAATACGTGTCCAAACCCTTCCATTTTTATCTTTAGCATTTGGAGATCACTGTTTTAAAGATTTTATTATCAATGTTGGAAAAAACAGTATTAACTCAGAAAAGTAGATATGTGATTTTGTGTGCTAAAGTCACCAAAGTCAGGGCATTTCTTGACTACCATTGGACATAATTCTATAACCACATTTCTATTCTTAAACCAATAAAAAATATGCTTTTCATAGCTGCCTATTTTAATACCTTACACATCACTGTAAGTTTTTAGAGTATAGATTTCTCCGAAGACATCTGAGACTTAAAACAATTCTAATGTTTGGTATTCTTGACTTCAACTTTAAAAATTATAACTGCAATCTAACCAACTTTCAGTGGTCCCTGATAATGAAGAATAATGGCAGAGATATTTTATAAACTCATATAAATAATCAATGTTACCATTAGCTCTTTATTTTCTACACAAACACTTGGAGAATGACCTAAATAAGCTGGAATAGCTGTCAACATGTTCACATACTCTGTTTCTCTTGATATTAACCAACTGTGAAATATACTGGGTGAAAGGGCAGGGAAAAAAAAAAAAAAGGAGAGACAAGAAACACTTAGCCAAAGATAGGCCAATCAGTTCAAAACAGTCAAGACTTTAACTATCTTCCAAGTGTTTGCAATTCCTGCAATAGGCTCTAAAGACAGAAAATTAATTCCCTGAAGTTAAAACAAAACAAAATCTACATATGTATTTTGAGTGCAGAAGCCTGAATTTTTAGGCATTAGTGGATCTTCAGGAGTAATGTATCTCTGTCTTATTATTTTGACCATGATATATAAGGGGGGACCCAAAAACACCAGAATTTATTTAATTTAAAATTGTGTATTTATTCTTACATGTCTAAGCTTCAGCCACTTTCAAAGTACTCTTTGTTTAATGCAAAACACCTATCCAGATGCTTTTTCCACTGCTCAAACAGTTTTAAACTCATCAATTTTGATGCCTTTTAGTGCTTCAGCCATTTCTCATTTCACCTCTTCCACATCAGAAGATGTTTCCCTTGGAGGACTTTTTTCATTAGGGGAAACAAACAAAAAAATCACTCGAGGAGAGTTTAGGTGAATAGAGAGGGTGGGGCACAGGGGACATGCCATTTTTGCTCAAAAACTGCTGAACACTCAGCTCTGTGTGGGCAGGTGTACTTATAAATCGCCCATCATGAAATGGGCAAACGCACTGAAAGAACCTCCAAAAACCAATTCATTGAAGGAGAACACAGCTTCTTACAACAATGCTAGCTGCTACATGGATTCTGATGGGTTCCTAGAACACTAACCTAGTGAAGGAAGCCTGTACTTCAAGGGGCCCACCCTCCAAAAAATAATTCTGGGGGTTTTTTGGGTCATCCCTTGTAGATGATGCAGCATTTGAATGCCTACGCCTGCAGGTACCTCCTGTCTCATGCACCGCCTGTCGTATTACAAACTCTTTGAAGAATTTACATCTGATCACTGCAGGACCACAAAATGCAGTGGGTCAGGAGCAAGCTCACTTTGCTTGAACTGCCTGGGTTCTGATCCTGACTCTGCCACTTCTCAGCTGCGTGACCTTAAGCAAGTTTATTTAATCCCAAAGGACTTAAAGCAAGTCCTTCTACTTCCTCATCTATTTAGTGAGGAGTATAAAAATGATAGGATCGAAGACAAGATTAAGTCAAAGAACTTAGAACAGGGCTTGTGTCATCATTATTCAATTAATATCACCCATTCTTATTCTTAATCTGAATGACCTACAGCATCTAAGGCAGTTTTTACATTGCAGTCGAGCGCTTAAAAACTATTACTGCTCCTTCTGTCTATAAGGACTCTTTACTTTATGAACAAAACTTTATATCCTGCAACAAACTTCAGCTATTACTCCATCTCTTTCCTTCCTTGGCAAATTTTTGTATAAAGAGGTTATAACCAACCAACAGCAAGAATCAATAATTATCACCACACCCCCAACTGCTAAAATCTTGCAACAATTTGGGTAACACAATCTGGTGCCAAGAGTCTGCCAGGAACTGTGAGACCAATTAATTTCTTATTTCTTACATTTGCCATCCTTCACCATCACTGAAAATAAAAACCACTCTAGTCAATTCTCTCCTGGAATTTCAGACCTGTAACTACCGGTGTCTTTGCACTTCTAACTCAATCTCCCCTTATTTTTCACTGCACTCTCTAGAATAGGATCGTGCCATGTCTTTGACAAGCTCTCCTATCACCTCCTGGTCTACCTGAACCCCTCTAGTCTGCACAAGGCCACAGCTCACTCAAGGTCTTCTGAATGGATACTGCGCCCTCAAGACAGACTGGAAGCTGCAGTCAGTCCTTTCCTGTTCCCTTTGGTTTGGAACTCTCTGACTCACACACACAAGCTACCCTTCTGAGTGGACTGTCCTCCTCTGATGCCGCCATATCTTCTTTGTCACTTATTAGCCCACCAAACGCACCGCCCTGGACATCTCCTCCTGTTGCCCCCCTGGACAACTTTGGTATCCAGGGAGTGACCCATCTTCTCCCAGCCTAAGTCTCTTCACCTGTCAGTCTGTGGCCTTCTGCTCCATTCCACCACAGCAAACCAACCCTGAGAACATGCATCAGCCTTCATTCTGAACACTTCATCTCCAGAAGACTGCCCTCTCTGATCAAATGCCCTCACCCATCCCGTTTTCCCGCTCTTTTCTCTCTCCCCTGTACTAATTACCAGGAGTCAGGGCTCTCAGGCACTCAAGGCTGCCCCTCCTACTGCCTGCTAGATGAAAGAACATCTCTTCGACCGCTCTCAATTTCTTAATTCCTTGATCCACCTCAGTCAGAGTTCTGCAATGGACGGACACAACAATTGACTAGAAGTGTCTACTCCTTTCCTGGATAAAGAACAACCCACCGCTGGGCTCGATGGCTCAGCCTGTAATCCCTCACCTTTGGGAGGCTGAGGTGAGTGGATTGCCTGACCCCGCGGGTTCGAGACCCGCCTGGACAGCAAGACCTCATCTCTACAATAAATCAAAAAATCAGCCGGGCGTGGTAGCACACGCCTGTAATTCCGGCTACTCGGAAGGCTGAGGTGGAAGGATCGCCGGGAGCCCAACAGGTCGAGGCTGCAGTGGCCGGGAGCGGCCACTGCACTCCAGTCTGGGCGACAGAGTGAGACTCCAACTCAAAACAAAACAAAACAAACAAACAAACAAACAAACAAAAAGAACAACCCACCATATGTTGTCCTGTACAATCTGGATGCCCATTCTCAAGGGGGTATCTTTCACTGACTGCCAAGTCTGTTATCATCCCCTTCTGGGCTATTTTAACACTTAATCCCACGCCTGCATTTTGCTTGCTCTATAAATAATTATGCTTTGCATGTCTCTGAGATAATAAAGGTCATCAGGCATGAACTCCCCTAATTTCCTGCCTTTCTTTTTCTACAGATCAGCCCTATTTGTGCCCAACCTTTCCTTCTGACCCTCTATTTCAGAGAAAGGGTGGGTTCCCTCCCATCTAAGGTTAGCTCTCTATCCTACATTCTCCTGCTTCCTCCAGGACTCTTCTACCTCAGTGATACTCTCTCTTTCCAGTATTTTGAATCTAGGAAGCTACACAAGTTATTCGTGCTCAAAGCGAAAACACAGGCAGCTCTCAGATCTCAAAATCACTCCGTGGACATCAACACTAGTTATTGCCCCATCTGTCCTTCCGTCAAGTCGCTTGGAAGGGAAGTCTACACATACTGCCTCCTACTTCCTCTCTTCCCACTTTCCCTCCTCTGGACTGAGTGCCAGACCCCCGGTGGATTTCAGTTGCTCCTCTTGATCATCCCTTCCTGCCTCCATGAAATTTGACTTTCAGTTCCTGCCATGTGACTGTCTCTAGAGAAAGGCACAAAATGTTCACACAGATAACCTAAATGTTTCCCTCACAGAAACTGCGGATAGTTAGAGCAAGTGTGCTTGTTCTACAGGCTTGCCCTTGCCTGCAAGAAGGCAGCCTGCTCCTGGAAATACTGAGGTTAGTTCTAAGAGGCTGGTTTTCAGTCCAGGGCCCCAAGAGTCCGGGTTACCTGCTACATGTTAAGAATCATAAGCAAAAATATGAAGTTGTCACATCTAATCCTAGCCACAAATGTTTATTGAGTACCAGCTCCAATGATGAAACTACTAATAACATGTTCTCTTCCCTTTTATATATGACATATTCTTATTTTTATTATTTTTGATTATTATTTTTAATAATGAGATACTGCCTCAATTTCCCAGATTTGGATGTTTTATTACTTCTCCAAGTTATAAGAGTTATTTAAGAAATATTACTTAATATACTAAATATTATCAAAATGTATTTGTATAATTATGTTTTTCATCCATATTTTGTGATTCCTTTCCATTACATAATGCAGTTATAAACTAGTAGGAACATAGGGCCCTGCCTGTGAAAAGGCCATGAAATACACAGTGAGAAAAGTGTTTATTTAAAAATTTGCTTTTAAATATTCTATGATATGTGTCATACTTTCAGGATGCTGATTGTAAGATATTAAGAGGCTAAAACTGGACAGCTTTCAACCCTCAGTAAAGAAATATCTTACTGATAGGTATAATAAAAATTGTTGCAACTAATAATATTCCTCATATCTATGCCACACAAAAATGTTTAAAACAGCCCACTGCCTTTATTTTTCTTTGGAAAACTAAGTTACTGAAGACAACTGTGCTAACATTACAGATCTAATCCCAAGTTACCCAAAAGGCAGCCTGGAACCCGGCAGGGTTGAAGCTCTGGTTTCTGGTCCCTACTGGTAGCATTAAATTGCTGAGTGATAAATCGCTGTGACAATTTCTTGACCTCTCTGGGCCTTAGTTTCTATTGTATAAGATGGTAGCAGAAAGGCAACCCCTTTGGGTCTCCTCCCACTGTGGAAACTTTGCTGTTCTCTCAATAAAAAAAAAAAGATGATAGCGAGAGAGGGGCAGCTAAAATTTCCAGGATCTCTTTTACCTCTAAATCATTTCTCAAATCAAGTAGATGATAAGACAAAATTTTAAAGATTTACCCTAGAAACTAGTTAAGTTTTTGCCTTTGACAGTATGTGGCCTACTTTCTAATATTTTCATATTTTTGACTACATGTATATAATATTCTTTGCCTATGACAGTGCTCCAATCTAAACTTTACATTGACTATATCTGCCAAGGTCTTTGCCAAACCTATTTTATCAGTGTTTTCTATATGGCACTTCAAATCATCTCGGAGTAAAAAATATTAGCAACAAAGAGTTTAGTAACCTGATACATGATTATATTATTGATTCTTCTTAGATCTTTCAGTAAGCCAAGGTCTAAAAACATTTTCTGAAATTATTTTTCATAAATAAAATGAACCCTGCCTTCGGGTAATATTTTCTAACTCATTTCTCCAAATTTCTCCTGGATGCCACTCTTAAGAATATTTCTAATAAGTAAAGGAACTATTTTCTACCAATGGCTATGAACTATAGATAAAGATCGCGTCTTCTAGTTTTAAATTAGCAGTGTTCTCTGTATATGTGTTTGTTTTCACCTCTAGGTAATAACACTGAGAGAGAATAGAAAATAGTTTACAAAACTATTTAGAAATAAGCATCTCTAACAACAACGACCATCAGAGCAGACCATTTACCTGAACAAACAAAGCAATAATGGCGATTCCATGCGGCTTCCCCACAGCCTCGTCGATACTGCCAAACAGAGTGGAGTTCCAATGGATCAGGTGGAGCTGGATGGGTAGCAACAGAGAGACCGCACCATTTAGCTTACTATTCAGAAAAGCAGAGACATGTCAACTTCTTCACTATATCTAAAGTTACAAGTAGACACAAATGGCCTACTGGCTTAATATAAGTTCTCTCCACGAATTCCATTCTTCTTGATTCTGAAGAGAAGCAGTGCTCAGTGGTTCACTGCCTCTTGAGTTCAGTGTTAGTCCTGGCCAGAAAGAACACAATTGTGGGGCTCATAGATTTCTCATGGATTTAATTATCTTTCCTTAAATGCCACCCCCTCTTCATCTCAATAAAAACAAAACACTAGGTCTGGGCACAAACACTAGAACTCATTCAAAGGCTGAATACCTACATAATCATATACTGCATCATCCAGTATTTCCATCAAGAAATAAACAAATCCAGTCTCTAGGTCTGGTAAATTACTTCAACTTTCTAAGAATATCCACAGATAGCATCCTATAAAGAATGCTGCATTTTTTAAAAGGCATGGTAAAATAATGAATGCTGATGTAAATCTCTAAAAGAAGGCTATTTCCTGCACTGAAGATAAAATTTTATCTGTGAAGAAATGACAAACAATGCTCAAAGGACTCCCTCACTCCTAGCCTCATAAAGCTTTGCAGCTTTCAAGTTTATCTAGAATATGCACTTGCTCCTACAGCACTGATAAAACACTTGCACAAGGCAAATTCAATTTCCTAGTTAAAAATCAAATGGCCACTGAGGTTCTTAGTATAATAGTAGCCAGGTAAACCTTCTGCCCAGAATATTGTCATTAACAATATAGCTTTTAATCCAGCTATAATTACTTACCATCTTATAACACTGCCTCATTTAGAACTCAGTTATACCCAAACAGACATAACTAAAATTCAACCACTATTTATTTTAACACCTTTACTAAAATATTCAGGAAAATTATCACAAAGATTGCCACAAATCTGATTTTTCCACTGCTGAGTAGAATTTTAGGTTATACAACTGGCCACTAGAGGGAGGTAATAAAGTTCTCTATCAATAACAGAATTGGTAATCTAGCAATAGACTACACCCAAAGCCTGGCCAGGTCAGGCTATAAAAAAAGGCTGTGACCACCCAGTAACTGTAATTGTAAGGTACTGCCTTCAAGAAAACCATGTTCTGTAGCCTCTCAATTAATAATAAAAGACAGACTAATTTTAATCTTTCCTTCTCTGGTTGTAACAATAGCATAGGAGTCCTAGTGATAGAGATAAGAACTGATTGCCTTAATTAAACTAACAAAGATGATATATGCCCAAGTCTAAAAAAATTTTTATTCAATAAATTACAAAGTTCAACCCAACATTTTTCTTATTTCTCATAGCAACATCATGGGGCATTTTTTTAAAAAACCAAAACATTAATAAGTCAAAAAAGTTTAGGTTTTTCTTTTTCACATGTCTCACAAGTCAGCAACTTCATCACTCACACCTGCTCTTTAAAAACCATTTCTTATTTTTTGTGTTTAAAAAAATTAGAGTCACATTCCTTAAGCATGTGTTGAACATGGCGATTTTGTTTCCAAAAGTACGTGGAAAGGGATAAAAAAAAAGTGACTTTACAGTGGAGAAACATAACAAACACTATCTGATCAAGGTCAACATCAACAGTGATTGGTCGTATTAATAGTGTTTATTCTTAAAATATGATAAGAATGGCACTTTACCACTGTGTTCTTTCTCCCTAGAACCCCATCTAGTCATGAGAAAAACATCAGACAAATCTCAGAGACACTGTACAAAATACCTGACCAGCACTTCTCAAAACTGTCAAGGTCATCAAAATCAAGGAAAGCCTGAGAAAAATAACACCGCTAAGAGAGGCCTATGGAGACATGAGAACAATATGTGATACAGTGTCACAGGTCAGATCCTGGAACAGAAGAACAGTATTAGGTAAAAACTAAAAAATCTGGGGGGAAGATGAACTTATTAATGTATCAACATTGGTCCATTAATTGTAACAAATGTACCTTGCTTCTATAAGATGTTAGTAGTGGGGGAACTGGGTATAGGTTATATGTGAACTTTCTGTACTACCTGCATAACTTTTCTATGGATCTAAAACTGCTCCATCATCTATGACAAGCCTGCAGCCAACGTCAGACTTAATGGGCAGAAGTCGGAAGCATTCCTCCTAAGAACTAGAACAAGACAAAGATGCTCACTCTTATCCCTCCTATTTAACATAGTACTGGAAGTCCTAGCCAGAAGAATCAGGAAGAGGGCGAAAAAGGGAGTATCCAAACAGGAAAAGAGAAAGTTAAATTATTCCTCTTTGTTGACAATAAGATTCTGTACCTACAAAACCCTAGAAGTCTGTCAAAAACCTCTTCACACTGATAAATGACTTTGGTCAAGTCTCGAGATACAAAATCAATGCACAAAAAAAATTTCTATGCATTTCTATACAACAAGCAGGCTGAGAACCAAATAAAAAAGACAATCTCATTCACAATAGTCACAAAAAATAAATAAAATAAAATACCTTGGCATCCACCTAACCAAAGAGGTGAAAGACTTTTACAATGAGAACTACAAAATGCTGCTCAAATAAATCAAGGAAACACAAACAGATGGAAAACATCCCATGCTCACAGAATGGAAGAATCATTATTGTCAAGAAGTCCACCCTACCCGAAGTAATCTACAGATTCAATGCAATCTCTATCAAATTATCAGCATCATTTTTTAAAGACCTAGAAAAGGCAAAACAGAAATTTACATGAAAGCAAAAAGAGAGCCCCAAATAGCTAAAACAATCCTCAGCAAAAAGAACAAAGTTGGAGGCATCATACTACCAGATTTCAAACTTTACTGCAAGGCTATTGTAACAAAGTCTGTATGGTACCAGAACAAAAATAGATATATAGACCACTGGAACAGGACAGAGAATCTAGAAATAAAATCATAAACAATTCATCTTCAACAAAGCCAACAAAGCAAATATTGGGAAAAGGATCCTATTTAGCAAATGGTGCTGGGGAAACTAGCTAACCACATGCAGAAAACTGGACCCCTACCTGCCACTATATACAAAAATTGACTCAAAATGTATCAAAGACTAACATGTAAGACCTCAAACTATAAGAATCTTAGAAGAAAACTAGACAACACCCTCTTGGACACCAAAGAAGGCAATAAGTTCATGGCCAAGTCCTCAAAAGCAAATGTAGCAAAAGCTAAAATTAACAGGTGGGACTTTATCAAGCTAAAAAAACTTTTGCTTAGGAAAAAAAACCATCAAGAGAGTAGCTGGGCTCGGTGGCTCAGCCTATAATCCCGCGCCTTGGGAGGCTGAGGTGAGTGGATTGCCTGAGCCCGCAAGTTCGAGACCCGCTTGGGCGACTTGGTGAGACCTCATCTCTACAATGAATAAAAAAAAAAAAAAATTAGCCAGGTGTGGTAGCACGCGCCTGTAGTTCCAGCTACTTGGAAGGCTGAGGAGGAAGGATCGCCAGAGCGAGCCCAGCAGGTCGAGGCTGCGGTGGCCGGGAACAGCCACTGCACTCCAGTCTGGGCAACAGAGTGAGACTCCAATTCAAAAAAAAAGAGAGAGAGAGAGTAAAGAGACAACACAAAGAATGAGAAAAAATATTTGCAAGCTATGCATCCAACAGAGGCCTAACACCCAGGATCTACAAGGAACTCAAACAAATTGACAGAAAAAAAAAATAATAGTAACTCCATTAAAAAAGTAAGTAAAAAATTAAAAACTGCTCTAAAAAAAGTCAATTTATGAAAGAGAGAGAGAGAAAGAGAGAGAGAGAAAGGAAGGAAGGAAGGAAGGAAGGGTGAGGAGGAATGGAAAAAATATTAAGGAGAATGTTGGTACTTCAACCAACCCAAGCTAAAAAGTATAATGGAAAATGGCTATGCCCCCCAAATGTCTAGCAAAATAACATAAAATGAAAGCAACAAGACAACCTCTGCCACCTGTCCTTCATTCTGCCATCTGAGTCTTCAATAATTACCAGAGACTTGACAGTTCGAGGGCAGAAGAGATTCTCCTTTTACAGTCAATAAGTGGCCCCAGCTTTAAAAAAACCAAGCTCTGCCCTGATAGTGAGAAATGTTGTAGCTTGAGTTGGAAGGCTGGAAACTCAGGCAGAATTTTTATTTTGCAATTTTTATCTGGAAATAGAATTCCTTCTCCTTGTGGGGACGTCAGTCTTTGCTCTTAAAGCCTTCAACTGATTGGATAAAGTTTACCCGTATTGTGGAGGATATTCAACTTTCCTCAAAGTCTGTTGATTTAAATATCAATCACATATAAAAAAAAAATACCTCCATGGCAATACCTAGACTGATGTTTGGTCAAAAAATGGGGTACAATAATTTAGTCAAGTTGACACATAAAATAAGCAATCTCACATCCCTATCATAATGCATGCATTTTCAGCCTCCAGCCTGTCTTGCAGATTTCTGATTTGCCAGCCCCCACACTCACAAGAACCAATTACGTAAACTAAATCCCCATTTCTCCTTTATCTTTCTCGCTCTTTCTCCCTCTTCCTCACGCTGTTTCTCTGGAGAACCCTAACTAATAAAGGTTGTGCAAACAAAAAAGTGGGGAAACCATGACAGTTTAAATTTGAAGAAGATTATTGCCAATGGGAATAAAAAAAGGACCCTAACAATTAAAGTGACAACATTTGGAATTTATTCTTCTAAGACTAAACATAGGCCCTATGGGAAAGAGGGTTGGGGGAACAAAATAATCCCCTGATGATCAGAAATAACACACTACTAGCACATCTACTTATACCCATTTTTCTCTAATACCTTATTTTGATTTTCTTTTTCTTTTTCTTTTTCTTTTTTTTGAGTTGGAGTCTCACTCTGTCACCCAGACTGGAGTGCAGTCCGGCCACCGCAGCCTCGACCTGCTGGGCTCTGGCGATCCTTCCACTCAGCCTTCCAAGGAGCCGGAACTACAAGCGCGCACTACTACGCCCGGCTAGTTTTTG